GCCGATCATGGAGCTCTCCGGGCCTCCTTCGATCTTCCATCGAAACCACAACGCATTCAACGCTGGCCGCTTCCAGCGGAAATTCCCTGGAACCTCATTGATCATCAGCAATGGGCCAATGACTACATCCACATCACGGACACACCTCACCTTTCTTCCACTGCCAAATACGCACAACTTGGCAAGGCATATGAAGACTCCATTCACCAACATCTCCAAGCACAAGGCCGCAGCCTTCCGACAGGTTGCCGAGGCCGGGGGCAACAACTTGCTCCAGTCCTCCAACAACGAGCTCCACCCACAGCACGTCCCAGCCGCGAAGGTGAAGAATGCCTTGCCTCTGACCTGATCAACCGGGCTGTTCTACGCTGGTACAAACAACTTAGAAGACTCCAGAGTCTTCTGCACAATGTTCGAGCAGACGGCCAGTCAGAGACACAGATTTTTTACCGTCTTGAAACCTGGCATTCAGTCCTTCACGCCAAAGGATTTGAGCCTTGCTTTTCGAGCTGGTGGGAACAGCGCCCTCACCAACTACAAGGTAGCCCCACCACATTACCCGACAGACCACCACCACTTGACACCGCAGAACTCATCTACGAAGACTTTCAACGCAATTTCAGGAGCTTCGAATCCTGGAATTTACGCCAACGAGGCAAGTGCTTAAAAGCCAAGCTACAGCAATCAAGGCATCTGGCCTTCAAGACCATACACACTAACAGCCGAGCCCCCATGGACCGGCTCATGACCGAAGACTCAGCCTGCATCATCGGCGTCTCGGACGATGGGATAGAACTTCATTCCGATGTCAGTCTTCAACCCACCTCCAACACTCAGTGGTGGATCAACGACAACCCAGTCGACCTTGAAATCACCTCAACCGACACCTACCGGCTGTGTCAACCACATCCAATTGAGCCAGGGGACACTCTCACGTGCCAACAAAACCACGTTCTTGAGGAAGACATGCATCGGGAGCTGCGAAAATACTGGCACCACCGATGGAACCACACCAACCACATTTCCGCAGAAGCTTGGCAACGAATTCTTGCCTTTGCCAAAGCACACATGCCTAGTCCTGGCTTCCAACTTCCACCGCTACAATTCGAGACCTGGAAGGCTGCGCAACGCCGCTTCAAACCATACGCAGCCAGGGGTCCAGATGGCTACAGCTACCAGGATCTTCAGCATTTTCCACCAGCACTTCAGCAGGCACACTTCCAGACTTTTCAGGAGATTGAAGCCGGCAGACCATGGCCTAAGCAACTCCTGCTTGGAATTGCAAACGGCCTCCCAAAAGTTGACGAACCAGAAGTCGTCGGCGACTTCCGACCCATCATCACCTACAGCATGAACTACCGCACCTGGTCCTCACTGAGAGCCAAGCAACTACTACGACAACTCCAACACCACTCGAACATACCAGCATTTGGCTTCATGCCAGGCAAGGAAGCTCGCCAAATTTGGCTTCCCCTGCAAGCTCTTATAGAGCTCCAATCGCAACAACAAGGGCAGCTCTGTGGCTATGTCGCTGACATAGTCAAAGCATTTGAACACTTGCCCCGGGGCCCCATACGCCTTTTGGCGGAGCATATCGGAATCCCTAGCCACATCATCGAGCCTTGGCACCAATTTCTCAACCACACCACTCGACGCTTCAAACTCCGGGAATCTGTAGGGGAAGCCATTCCCTCTACTTCTGGATTCCCTGAAGGATGTGGCCTGTCATGCCTGGCCATGGCTATAGCCAACTGGGCACTCCACATCTACAACCACCACTACGCGCCCACAGTTGCATGTGCCAGTTTTGTCGACAACCTGGAAATTGTCGCTGCCACGACTGGACAACTCCTTCATGCCATCTCGGTTCAGGATGCCTTTCTGGAAATGCTGGGGCTTTCATGCAACCCAGCCAAATGCTACACCTGGGCAGTCCAACCTGGACAACGCACCCTTCTCCAACGTGCGGGATTTCAATGCCTTCAGCATGCCAAGGACCTTGGCGGGCATATGACCTACCGATCCACACGGAGGACTGCCCAAATACACGCGCTAATCGCGGCGATCCAGCCACTTTGGTTGCTACTCCAACGATCGGGCATGGCGACAGCCTGCAAGCAATTGGTCATCCAACAAGCTCTGTGGCCCAAGCTTTTCCACTCGGCCTCCATTTGCGACTACAGCCTAGCGGAACTGCAGCGACTTCGCACTGCAGCAGTACGCTCTCAGAACCACGGCAAATCAGGAGCTCACCCAGGAGTTAGGCTCACCCTGCTGAGCGAATCTCCTCTTGTGGATCCAGGACTATACCAGCTGTGGCAGGTCCTTTTGGATTTCCGCAGGATTCTTGCCAAATCGCCACAGCTGCTTGACCATTGGCACCAATACATGCAACACTTCGCGGGGCAACTTGGGGCTGGCCCCTTCGCCACACTCCTACGACAACTCAACCACATTGGATGGAGCGTGTCTTCACCGCCCATCCTTTGTGACCACCTCAACCACCGACACAACCTACTACAGGCTGACACCACCACCCTCTACAAACTGGTGTTGCACGCCTGGTGCGCACAGCTCGCGTCGGGACTGAGCGGACGTAAGGACTATGAGGGGCTGACAGGCATTCACTATGCCATCACCAAGCACACTGCCAGGAAACGAACGGCCCTCCAACTTGCGCGAATCAACTCCCACCGTGAAGGAGCTTTCTTCACTGGCCAATCCATCTCCAAGTACGACAATCTATCGGATGGCCTATGTCGCCATTGTCGTGCAGCTGATACTCTTCAGCACAGGGCACTCACCTGCACTGCTACTCAGCAGCTACGTGCCCGCCACTCGCAAGCCATGCAAGCTTGGCCCCATGCCACAGTCAGCACCAAGGAGCGACTGCTCCCATCCGACAACCCACACTTCCCTGCCTTCTTTGATCAGCTCTTTCAACTCCCGCAATACCCTCTGCACTACGACCACATTGGGCAACCCGGCGAGCAGGTACACCTGTTCAGTGATGGGGCTTGTACAGTTCCTTCTATACCTTCCACCAAGCTTGCCGCCTGGGCTGTCACCTCGGCAACTCATGGGCAGTGTATCGCAGCTGGCCCGCTTGCGGGCTGGCCTCAATCTATCAACCGAGCAGAGTTAACAGCAGCTATCGTTGCACTTCAATGGACCCTGCGATCTCATACTACCACAACACTCTGGACCGACTCGGCTTACGTGGCTCGGGGCTTTTGGAAGATCCAATCGGATCCACTTTCAACTGCAACCACCAACCCAGACTTGTGGCATTCCGCTGCCCAACTCCTCACAAACACACCACCCCACCAGTTCCAGGTGCTTCACATCACCAGCCACAATGTTACAGATGATGATGCAAATGTTGCTGATGAATGGACCGCCAACTGGAATGATCAGGCAGACTTGTGCGCCAAGTTTGCGAACTCACACCGTGATCGGCCTTTTCAGCAGCTTTGGGATCTGTTTGCGCATGAAGAGCAGCGTATTCTGGATGAGCTCAGCCTTTTCATTGAGCTCCAACTTGACATCGCCGAAATTTTTGCGCAGCCAGACCAACGAACCACCGAGTTTGAGGAATCAGAAGAAGATCCACCTGTCGCTCTCACGAGGCAGATGGATCCGGACGCCAACTGGCTTGAAGACATACCACCAGCTTGGGCCGAGTCACTTGCAGGAACGGAGATAATTCGGCAGTTCAGCAGGCCTTTCTCTGCAGCAGTAATCAACTGGCTGCATCAGGAAGCACAGACGGCCGAGCATGGCCTTTATATTTCCTGGATTGAACTGGTTGCATGCCTTCGCATTGAGCAAGTCGAGTTTCCTGTCATTAGGACAGCGAGGAACGGCGTGATTTGGTGCCACCGTTCCGAATGCACAGGTAGCGGAGGTCCACCAACCTTGGCTGCTGACATTCGGCTTGTTCGTGCTTTTTTTGGAGCCCTCGCCTCCCAGTTTGGGTTGAACATCCCAAAGCTGAGATGCCTCAATTTGGCTCCTTTGGGCATTGCCCCGCCTCAACACGGGCTGTCTTTACATGTCACACAGGCTACCCTTCAATCCGCCGAAAGGCGGATTAGAGCTTTCACGGCCACCAGAGCCGTGAGACGTTCCTCGGACCTTGCGGTCCCGCTCCGGTAGCGGACATGAACCAGCGTTCCGCACTGCCCTGCTGTGCGAGCGCTGTGGAAGCCGTGCGAGTGTTAATGTTTGATGTTCCGTTTGGTTTCAAATGGAGGATCAGCCATTTTTTAAGGGCATTTTTGAGAACTCTTGCTGAATGAATCATCGCAACCATGCTCCATGTTTTTCCGATTTTGGGCTTATGTTTTTTGAGGACCATTTTGGGGTGGTTGTAAAGCGGAAACCAAAAGGAACATGACCCATGTAGGGGGTCCCTGGATTTTGACACCCCCATGTGCCATTTGCATGTGGATAAACAAGAACAAACTGATGTTGCATGTTCAGTCATCCCATTTTAGCTTGCCACCGTGCTTACACCAGAATGCCTTCCAAGAACCCTCCAACATACGTACCTGTCAAGCATGCCCCAACCTTTCAATGCTGAGGATTCCTTTCATTGGGGTGCCAGAGTATTCATTACTGTTCTTAGAGGAGGGATGTCCTTGTCCTGGGGTTACCCGCTCACCAAATAAAAGTGCACAGACTGTGTTGGCTTGTTTGCTGAGTGGTGTGTTTGCTTGGGTTTCGTGTTCTTTCCACTTGAGCAGCGCCCAAAAGCACCATTGTCTGTTCTAGCTGATGGTTGGGATTATAGTAAAACTTGCAGAAGCTTGATAACCAGAACCAAAGGTCAGCTCGGGTGAAACGGACACTCACTTGGGTCTGTCCTTTGTGGGGGTTGGTACTATTTGGTACTCTTTGTCCTTGCCAAAAGGTAAGCTGAATAAATTTTCCGGGGTTCCCAACCTGAAAAAGACACCCGCTTCCGGTAAAACGCCTTCGGGTGAGCGACATCCAAGGCCTTCATGACTCTCGCGGTGCAGCGTGGAGACGCGTACTCCTTCCCCCGCTTTGGAGCTCGAGGCGCTCTGAAGGGTGGAAATGGGACCCCGGAAATGGGACCCCGGACGATGGCCAAATCGCGACAAATTCACGGAAGGAACCCAAAAACATGTTGAGCCCCACAAAAGGAGGCTCCTCTAAAACAAGACTTTTTTTTGTCTGGGTTCCATGCTGACCTGCAGGAGTGTAAGCGCCTTTCCTTTCGTACATATTCTAAGCAAAGACACAACCCGGTGTTGGTCTAATTCATTTTTTCCCGAAAGCATGGCGAAGGGTTCTTCCGCTGGGTTCACTTGAGTTGTTCTCATGAGAGTCATTACAAGGGTCCGCGGGCGGGCGTCGCAAGATGCAACTTGCATTTTAAAGCAACTTGCGCAGAGCAACTTGCGCAGAGCAAGTTGCACAGAGCAACTTGCGCAGACCAACTTGCACCGACCAGTTTGCGCAGAGCGCCTTGCCTAGAGCAACTTGCGCAGAGCAACTTACGCAGAGCAACTTGCACAGAGCAACTTGCACAGAGCAGCTTGCACAGAGCAACTTGCAGGGAGCGCAATTTGCACAGAGCAACTTGCAGGGAGCCACTTGCAGGGACCAACTTGCCGGAGCAACTTGCGCGGAGCAACTTGCGCAGAGCAACTTGCACAGTGCAACTTGCGTAGAGCAACTTGCGCAGACCAACTTGCACCGACCAGTTTGCGCAGAGCGCCTTGCCTAGAGCAACTTGCGCAGAGCAACTTACGCAGAGCAACTTGCACAGAGCAACTTGCACAGAGCAGCTTGCACAGAGCAACTTGCAGGGAGCGCAATTTGCACAGAGCAACTTGCAGGGAGCCACTTGCAGGGACCAACTTGCCGGAGCAACTTGCGCGGAGCAACTTGCGCAGAGCAACTTGCACAGTGCAACTTGCGTAGAGCAACTTGCGCAGACCAACTTGCACCGACCAGTTTGCGCAGAGCACCTTGCCTGGTGCTGTCTCGCGCTTGCTTCACAAATGCTTCGTGTAGGGAAAAAGAACACATCCTGCAGCGTTGGGCCGACCTCGCTTGCGATGTTCTGCTTTCGGGCCAACCGTGGTCTAGTTTTTTCGGGGGTGTGGTTGGGGTGTCCCTAAAGTGGGGGTCCAGAAGCATGGCTCATCATGTTGACTTTGTAGTGGCGGTTGGTGTACATGTTCGGATGTGAGCAACGGACATTTCCTGCAGTCTCGGGTGGGTGCCAGAGAGTATGGATTTTCAGTTGTCTCGTATCAGTTCATTGTGGCGGTAAGATTGTCAGCTGCGATAGTCTGCTGGGCGCCCATGGGGAACAACCCCCTTGTCCCTTTGAGGGGCAGATGTTCAAAGTGTCCATGTCCTCTTGGGGAACCTTCGTAACTTTGTGGAGGGCTTACGTCAGGTTGCACACATTTTAGCCATGCTGCTAAAGTCATCACAACTTCTTTCTGTTTGGTGGGTTCGGTGCCCACTCAAATGGTCAGTCCACCTAGCCCGGCAAGAACACCGCATGACCCCGTAAATCAGCTGATCCAGCGATTTCTTGAGCTGGCCGCGGCTCAGCTCTCAGGACACCTTGGCGCACATCGGCGAGCTGCTGCAGCTCAGGATGCCCGAGCTCACGGAGGCCTGTGGCCTGGGGGGTCTTATGGGACTCGGAAGCAAGGTCCGTGTTTGGAGTAGCCTACAGTAGGGAGGATTTTAGTGCGGAACGCAAGTTGTCGTTTTCTCGAAGCCAGGTTTGCTTTTGGGCCCCACATGTCCGAAAAGGCAATGTGTCAAAATGGGGAACCCTACAAATGCTAGGTTTCCTTTTGGTTTTCCTATAAGCCAGCCTGAAAAGGGGACCAACAACAAACACACACACACACCAAAAGACACAGAAAGCAGAAAGGCACCACAAATGGGCGCCAAAATGAGCACCACCACCCCAATCGTCCAAACATTCCCTATTCAAAAAGAGCATGCTACAGTGTTGCAGTATGTGCTTTTGATTGCAATCAAACTTGCGATTTCCCAAATATCGTTGGTCAATTATTTTGAACAAGTTCAGTTTCCGAGCCGCATGCTCCGTTTGCATCATGATTCTGAGAACATGTTGCTCAGACGAAACAGTTTCATCTATTGCATGAGAGAAATGAGGGGGAAATCCACCGCCAAACTCCAAGCAACTCGAAACCAGCCAGCTCCTCGCCATTCCTCGCACCTGCCTGGCATCTGCCTAGGCAATGACCACCCAGAGCAAGACGCTCTGGCGCGCATGAGCTTCGCGGGACGGGCGTTTAAGTTTAAGCTGCTCTGGTAGACGGTGTCTGCTAGGAAGCTTTTGTTGGCGGCACTGCTTGGCTAGATCCCTGGAAATTAAGGTATCCAGCGACCAAACTTGTTTTCGTAGGATTTGTTCGAGGGATGAATGGCTGGTTTCATGGCAGTATGAGCAAGCTGATGTTTGTTTGTGTTGGCCGCTGTTCGAGGGGTAAGCTTTGCGGACTCCGGAGAACACTGCACGTGGGCTATCCCGAAGGCACCTGTGTTTGCGCAAAAGACATTCGCTGCTCAAGTGTTTAGAGTGGACATTGTGCTGCACCTGTTAGTGTGGAGAGCAAGGTGCGTTGTTTGAGTCAGCTTAGGACAGCCAACTCAGGATTTATAGAATGCGGTTGGCACTGCAGATCTTCTTTGTATTTTCTTTATTTGACGCACATGTACTTGACCAGACCTTCTTGCTGACGGCTGCCCTCCAGAGATCAGTTTTCTAGGCTGCACTGCAAGTGTGACTTACATACCCATTGACCGGAACCAACCATGTTGCAAGCAAAGGTGCTGATGACTCGCGAGGAACCCCGCAATGAGGGACAAACAGGTTTCGCAAGTTTAAGTGCTTGCATGTTTTCCTGCAGAAAGTCAGTTGGCCAAGGCTGCAATTGCTTGGTTGTGCCGAGCCGTGATTCGGACCAACATCGTTTACCAACCACTTTGTGGGGTCTAATTGGTTTTACTCACTTGGCTTATTGTTTGCTTCTTAGGGTCGGGAATCCCCTTGTTGGTGCCTTGAAGGGAATTCCAAAATTGAAGCCAACGAGTTTGAGGGATTTGCAACTTCAACGCAGTTTAAACATTTCCACGGTTTTGCAGCTGTGCGTTCTCTGTGTTTTCCTTGGGCAATGTTGCAGTACTCCCTGGAGAATTGGCATGGAATCCCAAATGGTTTCCTTAAAAGGTGGAGTTTGCACTTGATGGAGTATTGCTGGACTCGCGTTTCCATTTGATGTAGTATTTCTGGAGCTTCCTTGTGAGATTCTGATTTGAGTTTCCATTTGATTTGGTATTGCTGGAGCTTGATTAGAAGTTCATTTTGATTTGATGCAGTATTGCTGGACTTGAGATTCTCATTTGATGTAGTAGTGATGTAGTATTGCTGGGGCTTCCTGTTGAGACATTGGGACCAGATGAGCAGATGAGCAGTGAGCTTAATTCATTACGTAAACTGGCCACGACTGAACCATGAGTTTAAGCCGACACAGCGCGTGGTGATGGCCTGAGAAAGCGCCAGGTCCAACTTCACAAACCAACACCAGGGATGAGTGCGTGGATCGCGCCTCACGAAGTGGTGGACTGCATCTTTTTGTATGATGCATGCGGTGCAGTTTCGCCTGGCTCGGCGGTGTCCGCGAAATGGACGCAAATCACGGGGAGGTCGAAGATGATCGAAGCCTTAATCCGCAAACAGCAGATTTGCTGGGTTCCAGCGAGGGATGCCGTGCCAAGAATGGTGCCAAGAATGGCAAGGTTTTGAGGTATTGGCTCCACGTTTGGATGGACGCGCCAGTGATTATTTTGCGGAACCCCAAAGATGCCGAGAACAAGACATTGCCCAGTTCTACCGTTCCTTCATTCCATTCGGCATTTGTGGGCATTCACTCTCGAGGGGCCCTTTGAGTATCCTTTGCCAACAGGACCCTTGGCACCAGAGATTTCGCATCACACTCTTTGCTGCCTGCCTTGCTTTATGCGGCCTGCCGTGTCGCATGTCGCCCGCCATGGCCACATACTGCCTGCCATGATCTATTCTTGTTGCCACGCTGCATGTAACCACCATGCCTTGTGCTTCCTTGAGCTGCGTGCTGCGTGCTGCTTGCTTCCTCACAAGCTCCAAGCTGCCTGCCAGGTGTCGTTTTGCAGGCATGCTGACATCATTATGTTGGCTCTGATTGGGAGGCAGTTGGGAGTTCCTGGGGCTGGTTTAAGTTAGGGGTGGTTTGGGGCTGGCTTGGCTCTTCATGCGAGTGTGTCTTGGGGTGGTTTGGGGTTGGTTGGGCAGGTTTAGAGTTGACTTTAGGTGGATTTAGCGTTGGCTTGGAGCTGATTTGTGTTGGGTGTGCTGCTGGTTCAGCGGTGCCTTTAGGGTTGCTTTAGGGATTTGGTTGAGCGAGTTTTGGTCTCGTTTAGGATTGGTTTTGGAGCGTTGCCCCAAACCACCAAAACTCGCCCGCATCTCTTGGGCAAATTCTACCCAGCTTTGCTCAGTCGTGCAGACCCGGAGCAGAGGTGCTCAAAGTGCTAATAGCAGCTTTTGCCATGGCGACGACACTTCTGGTTGGAACGCGGCTCCATGCCATGTATGAAGGCAGGTGGTAGCCAGCTCAGCTTGGTTCTGTTGATTTGCTGCACATCAATGGAGCTTAAGTCAAGCTATCCTTGCAATATGACCGCTTCGTCATTGCGGCTTCCTTGCGTTTGGACAGCCGCAGCCAAAACTGCTGCCTTGCCACTGCAGGGCAATACTTCGCGGCGGAAATCAAAAGGATCTCAAGGAGCAAGAAGTCTATCAAGGAGACCTACTCAAGTTGACACGTGTTCAAAGGCTTGTGGAGCAGGTACACTATTTGGGCTACCATCGCCGATGCGATGCCTGGCTGCCGTTGGATATGATCAAATCGAAGGCAAGCAGTTTAGGTTGTCTTGCTCACCCAACGGCCACTTATGGCAGGCGTTGAAGCAAAGAGAGGTTTGGGATGTGAAAGTGGAAAGGTCGATGCCCGAGGCGTATCCGTGCGTTTGGTTTACGTCCCCTTTGCGTTTTGGCTCAACTTGTTTGTGATTCGTGCCAGGAAGCGAAGGCCAAGTCCGGGAGGCCTGCCATACCTACCACCTAGACAAACATCCAGTCAGTTTGCCGGTGCGCTGACTAAGAGCCCGTGCCAGAAATTGTACGCCGAGGTCGCAAGTCAAGGAATCATCGAAGCTTGAGCTCGATGAGAGCAATCTTTGCAGCGAGGATCGGCAAGCTTGTGCATGATGGACTCACGATTCGGTTGTGGTGAAAGCAGCCCTGGCCAGAAAGTCCCTTTGAGTTGCATATTGACTTTTGTTTGCTCTTGCAGGTGTCCAGCTGCCTGTCCCAAAATCACTTATTGTTCAAACTAATTAGAAGGGCCGAGATTCAGATTGATTGGCTGACTCAGACCCAGTGCCAATACGGGGCCATACTTGTAGCATGCCAAAAAGCAGCTTAGGAGCAGACACTGTCAGAAAGGCTGCTGAGATGTGCTGAGTATGCAGAGACCCTGCCAGGCCATGATGGAACATGACGTTATGAAGCGCTCCTTTCCTGCACTTACCGGACTCTGCGGAAAAGGTGATACTGGGTGCTAGGATTTCAGCCAAATTCACATATGAAGTGCAACCTTTAGATGACGTCTCGAAACTTGAGCAGTCCTTCTCTGCCATTCCGTGTTGGCTTTTCTTTTGTGCATAATTTGCGCGCCGCCAATGCCAAGCCACGGCTGTAAGTCCAGGCTCTTTGGCTGCCCTGAGCAGTGGAGATCCTATCTTGCTGCGCGGCGCCATATGGTTGCTGGCCTAAGCATGTCATCTGACACTGTGCTGTTGCTTGTTGCTTGAAGTTGATCATGCCATGTTGGTGTCCATGTTGCTAAACTCCAGTTGCCCATGCGTTTGGGCCAGTTGCGATGTCAGGCTGGTTTGCTCTGGCGGCCTCGCAAAGCAATGTACCAGCCTGAAGTCCTATGCGGAGCTCGCCGCTCGGCAACATTTTGCCACCCGTGAGAGGGGCTGCAGACTGCAGCGGGCGTTGGCGAGGTGAGCGAAGGGCAGCCATCTGCTCCGAGTGTGGCGCGGGACGTGTCCCGAACCGCCCACTCAGATGCCATGGCACTTCAGCGCGTGCTCATGGCCTTCGCAGTGGCTCGATTCGATGCTTCAAGTGGATCTAGTTGTCAGTGGTAAGCAGACGTTTGTCAACTCAATTGAAGTGGTGCTCTCCTTTGGCAAATTGCCTGTCTCGTGGTAGCTGGGTTACCCCCAAGCCTTTTTTTTATCATTGGGTGTGGCTTTTGTTTGTTCCTAGGCCAAGGTTCGGTAGCCCAGGCCCGCAACCCATCCGTGGGCTACTGCCAGGGCATGCACTCCGTGGCTTCAGTGCTGCTTTTGCCTCTTGGCAGAGTGCCAGAAAGGCCCGAAAGTAGCAATTCATCATATGGAGACGGATGTGTTTGCCCCTGCCATTCATTTTGCATCTCTTTGTCTATGCATTATGCACTGGCGATTGACGAGGGCCCGATGTGGAGTCCAGCCGGTCAGCATGACCCGACTACTGGAGGTTCAAACTCCAGTTTGTTCCAAGCGCTCATGAATTTCAGCCCCTTCGCTGCTCGAAGTGTTTGCGTGGCCTGTGCCATGTTCGAAGCCGCCAATGACAAACTCCCCCTCCCGCGGAGAACTTTCCACTTGGAACGTTGGACTGTCATCATATCATGGGCGCCGGATTTCCCGCCCTCACCCCTCAAAGCATCTGATCAGTGGCAAGGCTTTTTGAGGAGACGGACGCGTTTTGGATGCTCTGCAACTTGGTGGAGGACATCTTGCCGCCCGGCTTCTACGACGCCAGCATGGTGGCCATCCGCGCCGCGGCTCGGCCAGTGAGCCAGTGAGTCAAGCCCATTTGAAGTGAGGCAGGTTTATGCAAACGAAAAGATCTCGACAAAGGACGGGTGACAACAGAGGGATGATTTGATTCAATGAGTTGAGGGTGAAGTTTTCATGCAAGTCTCGTGGGACCTCAGGAATTGCTTGTCTTTGACTTCTGCCTCCGGAAGTACCTGCCAGAATTGCACTTCCATTTTCACAGGACGACTGTGACTCATTTGCTTTGCTTTGTCAGTTCGACTTGCGTCGACAGGAGAGGTCTGGAAACCAGCGGCATTTTCACAACCTGGTTCCTGACATTGTTCGTCCCAGCCTCAGGCGTGCCTTGTGGACGGGTCACTTCGCTTAAGAACACAGACCCAATAAGTAAGGCGCAGGTCCTGCCACACGAGCTCATCAGCAGCGTGTGGGACTGCATGTGGTCTGAGGGCCACAGTGCCATTCTGCAAGCAGGACGTGCTACTTTGGTGCCTTTCGCCTATGAGCAGGACGTTTCCGTTCCTTGCGCCAGGACTTGCACTTCTGTCGCTGCTGCAACGAGCCCTCCTCACGGCCAGCAGCGATGATGAGGCGGCAGGGTGGCATGGGTCTGTCAGGGCGGCATTGCTGGTTGACGGTGGGCATTCTTTTGCCTGCAGTCCGTCAGGTCTACATGCTGCTCCAGGACCCCTGCAGGATCTTGGGCGTCTCCTCGAGCGCGTTTCTTCGGGCATACTTTGAACCGAGAATGAGGAATTTGAGGCGTGCCGACTTTTGCACAGCGCTCTTGACATGGTGTTGTCCTTAACCAGCCTAGCATGCAAGCAGGCTGGATGACGAGATTGAGCAGATACGGCATACCCACGTGTCGCGGCTCCTTGAGCACGATGCAAAGGCAGGAGCACACGGGACAGCCCTGACAGGTTGGCCACAGTGAAGCCCATTCAACGTGCCCGCATTTCTTGCGAAATGGTGTGATGGCGGTGCTGTTTCACTCCGGCGCAAACATGGGGTTGACTAGAGACAGAACTCTCCACTCTTGTGGACACTCTCTGACCTGCTCAGCGCACCCAGGCTTGCCGGACCGCAAGCCCCACCGAAGGCGGGAAGGTGTTTTCCTTGTTAGTCACCCAAGGTTCCATTTGCATACTTATTCGACCACCTGGCTTGCATGAAGCTGATAGGGTTGGGCGAGTCAGATTTGCTCGAATTGCTTTGCACCGCTCCTCCACTGGATGGATACATCTTTCTTTGATGATTGCCATGCATGCTTACATATGCTTACCCATGCCTCGCAAGCTCGACGGCCTTGAACCTTTCACACCATAAAGGATGTGATTGCCCTGTTGCCTGGCAGGATTGGCTCCGGCTGAGGCTCCTCAGACAGCGGCGGAGGCAGGGCGTGCTAGCAGAGGTGAACACGTTGAGCGTGTCTGAAAGACTAAAGCCAGACTACTAAGGCAAGGCTTGTTCGCCCGATCAGAAAGCACTGTGTAATTAGCCGGCTTGCTGGTCCAACGCAGATTTAGGCGACATGCTGCTGCTCCAGGTAAGTCTGTATGCCTTGCACTTTCACAGCCATGTTGATGGTCTTTGCCGTGCAGGACTTTTTCACCTTCATTGGCAGCTGGTTTTGCGAAGTGTTCAATCTATGACCGCCCTTTTGACGCACAGTCGGCAGCACGTTTGCCGCAAAGTCGGCAGAACAGCTTCACTTCATTGATGACAGACATCGCAACTACAGGTTCGATGTCTAGTGTCAATTTGTGCCACCCCCCCTCCCCATTTGAGACCGAACATGCCCATGCTGACATTGACCCACAGGACCTCCCAATGGTTACCAAATTCACATCAAAGCTCATTTGCCTCGCACCTGCTGCGCTCAATGCAGACGCATAATGCTTGAACATGCTGTGGAACAAAGTCACCACCACGTGCTCGCCCTTCCTCCTGCATATATCTCTCAATGCAGCTGACCGACATCTTTCAAAGACAGTCCAGAGAAGTTATGGTAGTAGCATGTTGCTACCACACTGACACAGTTGCAATGTTTAGCTGGCTTTGGCACAGCCCCGAAGGCCCGGACGGAAATGGAGTGCACTTCAAACGCTGCCACATGTCAAGACAGTATCCTGGGAGGAAAGCTGACAAGCCAGAGGTCTCCGGTCCCGCATAAGAGAGTGATTTCGATCAAGGACCTTAAATGGACAGTTTTATTCGGATCAGACAATGACATGTTTTGACGCAGCGCTCCTGCGGCCTTTTAACTCTATTCCCTACTCCTTTGGCCGTGAAAAAAGAAGTACTGCATTCTGAGACTCAGCTAGTCCATGCCGCACAAGCGTGTGCCAAAGCACCAGGGTTTGGCATTCAAGCATCTTGTTGTGCCAAACAAGTGGCAAGCTATCAGCGTAGCAACGATCTCGGTTGACTTGCATGTAATGGGCAGCTTTGCCAGGACATGCACAAGTGGCCTGCCGATTTACCTGCAGACACCAAGACCTCCTCACATGATTGGCCCATGCATGTTTTCTCGAAACTTGGTTTCCCAGCACAACTGGTCATGCAGAATGCAATTGTGGATGTGAGTCAAAATTTTGGGCAAGGCGCAATCCGGATGCTGGTGCTGGATGATTCTGACACAAAGCCTAGATTCATGAGGTGTTGGCCCTAAGTGATGTTCAGGCTTATATGCCATAAAAGGCCACATCCTGAATCGTGAGGCCATATGTCCCGAATATCCTGAATCTACTGAGTGACTGTGCCTGCCATTTTGTCTTTTGCCATTACCAGGGCCAATAGCGGCCATTATAGGGCATCACTCGCAGGAGCAGGGAGACATACAGCCCACAAGCGGTGAGACAGACCAGACTTTGAGGCTTCTGCCAGTGGCCAGGCTGTGACAGTTGAGTATTTGTCTAGGTGAACAGCATGCGTGCGCGCAGTCGACTGGGTGCCATGAGGCACCTTGCTTTTTGCTGACAAGTCTTTACTGCTCAAGACTAGCCCGCCCAGGGTAGAACAAATGTTCGATTCTTTCAGCGTGGCTTAGGAGGCTTTTGTCGTCAGGTCTTGAGAGGAACCCTAAAGCATTTCTGCAAGTCTTCAACCACTGCCTGCTTGAGCCTTGTATGGTGGCAATGGCAGCAGTGCCTGTCATGGCTGCGTGGCTTGCTGCATGCGAAGGCGCACCTGTGGTCGTACTCGTCAGCGTTTCCAACTTGTGCGCATAGCCGCCTCTGATTGGTTTTAACGGGGGTTAAACATGGTGGTATTATTGGGTTTGACCCTAATCAGCTTTCTGGCTGTCACGAGGAGCAGTGATTAGCAATCTCACGCACATACTTGTTTCCTTGTCGGACTCTTGGCTTGTGGGTGTCCGGGTGCCAGGCTTTTTGTTTTCAAGCGGATTTGCTGCTCGGCCAGCCGCTCCATCATCGAACAGGTGCCTTGGAAGTGGCGAAGGCCCCTGTGGAAAACTGCCTCCAAATCCCTAGGAAACAAACGTTGAAAAGGCTTGGCCCCCCTTGAAAATAGTCTTCCAAGTGTTCCCCAAACAGTTCAAACGCGTTTCGGATGAGTAAGAAAACAACACCCGGCCTTCCACTTTGTCCTCTGTGGTTCAATCGCCGGGCTGTCAACCAAACTTGAGGATTCTTGGCCCCAGGAGAGAGCGAGCAGGGTCCGGTGGGCTGCCACGGAAGCCTGGCCTGACAACAAAGTGACGGGTCCAGCAAAGTGAATATGTTGAGGGGTTCGCGAAGTGACGTTTTGGGGCTGTTTTTCATAAAGCGACCACTTGGAGGGAAATTTCAAGGATGTCACTTTAGTGGACCCGGGTATCCTTGCCTGCAACAATTTGCCGTTTGATTGAATCTGTGCTCTTGATTCGTTCGGGGTCCAGGGTGACCAGCTCTATTTCCACCCTTTGCATCCAATGCTGGATGTCCTTCGAACGGATATGTTCCTTGCAGAAGCGGGTCAGAACGGTTAAGGAGCAGCCTTCTGGAAAGATGTGCCCCTTTTCCTGTGCTGCGTGAAAGCGGATTTGCCACCTGGTTTCCAGAAACGAAACAATTGCGGCCACACTCTAAGGCAGTGCATCTTAGACTTTCAAGTTCTGGAGCGAGTGATTTGTGCACGTTGCAGAGGCGACCCGTATGTCAGCAATGTGGCTCTGTTGTCAAACCCTCAATGCAATAACAAGGACTAGGGACGCTTCCACTCAGAAACAAAAGTGGACAAGGTGTTGAAACAAGCGGGTCAATGCAGGGAATGCAACTGGCATGAGCATTCATCCCATTTTGAACCTGTGGCTCCACCTTAGACGGTTGCAAGCCGAAAGCAAGATGTGACCTTCTCCATTTTCGTGCGGTTTATCTAGACATCACCATTTTGGCCGATTTGGGTTGAGTTTCTCTTTGCAACTATGGAAACTGTCTTTTGAGACCTCGCTTCGCCTGAGGATTGACTTGTAAGCACCAAATCCAATCATTGGTGGGCAGCGTCAGGCTTAGATGAGTTCAGCTGGTCCGGCCTGCGCCCGAGCTGCGGTCGCCGAAACTGGCATCGGTGCTCTTTGGCACTGGAACCATAGACAAGTTTCAGCCGAGCAGCATCCGAAGCCATGACTTTCTTTGGAAGTTGATTTGAAGCGGGTTTGCCAAAAATCGGCACATTCTCTTAGCGATGGCTGTTGGTTGGAACACCCTCAAAAATGGTCGGATATAACTTCCCATGGTGACTTCGGAACCCCAAACATGGAGACCACAAGGCTGAAGGGTCGAAGGTCACAGCATTGATAGCCCCCAAACTGGAGCCGATCAAAGAAAAGGGGGCAGGAAGTCATCCGTTGCCCCAAGAGACTGAGTCCCGGTTGATGCGCTCGAAAGAGAACTGCCCTTCCCTTGGTTGAAGTCTGTTCGGATGACCAAAGGGGGAAGCCGGGACAGCCGGGACATTGTCCTTCTCAGAATGGAATGTGGAGCTTTGGGCGTGCTTCCAGCAGCTCGCAGGCGCTTTTTGGAGCCCGCGACCCCTGGGTGTGCCAGATGGCCAGATGCTCCTCGCTCCAACGCTCCCAAGCGGGGTGCAGGGGTCTTCACATTGTTCCCGCGGAAACATGCACAAGCCTCAATACTTGACTTGGTCCATAGAGCGGGGTGTTGTTGGTTAGAAGGTATTTACCCTTGACAGGGCCTTCGAACGCAAATTTGAGGAACACAACAGGCCGATTGCCTTTGGACCTTCCAGATGTGTTTAACATGTGTGGTTTTCCGCTAGTTGAAACGCGCTTGGGCGGCCGTCTCACAAGATGAAACTGGCGTGATTCAGTCATATGCGTTTGTTCTCCGAGGGAGTGGACGAGGGCGACCCCGCTCTACACCCTAGTAAACAACTTAGATATGGTGGCGCCAATTGAGGCTGCCATGGCTGACCGATGCACCGCGAGAGAGTCGCTTGCAGTTGAGGTTTGCCTCGGTCAGAGCTTCCAGTGGCCATCGCCGCGGTTCTCTTCGTAGGGCTCATGTTTACCTCTGAATACACCCCCACTCGTCAATCAGGTTTTTCTGGAAGAACGCAATCCACCAAATTGGGCTCCTGAATAATAACCGTCAAGAAATTGATCGTGGGTCGGCATGGTTTTCCTTTGATGCCTAGAATCCTTGTTAAGTGGTTGGTGGCCATCCCTGTAACCTGCAATCAGTCATGCGTTTTGACGACCTGATTTGACGGTAGCAGGGAGCCAGCATGGTGGTACACGAAGCAACGTGCCAGGCCGATACACGGTTTCCTCCGCTCATCTCCAACCCCAGAGTGGTGGCGGCAGCTTGGCGCCTTTGAGTGTGGCGGTTTGGCGCACTGCTACATACCCTCTCAGATGTGTGCTTGTTCTAGTGACTGGCCTGTTGAGGTAGGAGGGAACAAATGACAACAATAAGTCCCGTGAAAGATTGAAGATGGCTCTATGTCGGAAGCAGACACCTCATCAAGTTGACACGGCTAGTTACTGCCCGCTGGGCGGCTTTTCTGGGCTTTAGGGGGCCACAGCACAGCACCACTTTGAGCCGCATCCTGCATCCATTTGATGAAGATGTGTGTCAAGCGCGAATTCGGCTCCTGAGGGTCCTGTTCCGCAAAGGGTTCCAACGCAGTCGCATGTTTCATTGCAGAAGAGGGCGCGTGGCCAATTCCACCATCTACACATGGTACAACTTGCTGCAAGGGTCCTCAGGTCTGGAAAACTCTGAAAGGGTCAAAGATCAGCTTTGCGCATAGCGCTTTGAAGGGAACCCAAAAGGAAGCCCATCTTCGGCCCCCTATTTTTGAACCCCCCAACCCAAACAACTCATCACGGTTGGAATGGGACCACACGGTTTTGTATGGGCATTGCCCATCGTCAGGAGAGACATTGGGGCTTGGAGCCCCTTCCTTCTAAGAAGCTTCTACTTCTACCGCCCTTGCCTAGCCTTGGCTTTCCTACCTGGGATTGGTTTGACATTTTGCGCACCAGTTGTGTGACGCTCTCATCGACCCATGTACCAAGAGCAACTCCGCCCAGATGAACGCCTCTTACTGAAGGCTGTTCTTAGTCCAGATTGGCGAGTTATAGTAATTGGCGCGGACGGCTTCTAGCTGATCTAAAAATCACAAACTGGGATTGCGTTTCTTGAGCCATTTTTAACCTACCACTGGGTTGACTCTGATCATGCAATGTGACGGGGCTAAGAAGCCAAGCTTTTGCAGGGATGAGACCATGTGTGCCCCGAAAGGGTCTCTCGAACTTTGAAATGAGTTTCGGTTGGGTGGGCGGGTTTTAGATAGAGGAACTGTTTTCAACCCTCATGAGGTTTCAACGAGTTGTTTGGTCTCGATTTTGTCCATGCATTTAAAGCCCCCAGTGGCCATTAGTTTATTTGGAATTTGCCCGCTGCATTGCCGGGCGATTGCTTGGTAGCTCTATTTTCCCGCTTGTGGCGGACAATGACCGTTCCACACGAGCTACCCAACAGGTGTCGCTTCTTTTGGGGAGATAGTTTGACCAAATCTGAGAGTTGCCTCGCTTGCCGAAGGCCGAGCAAGACGTTTCCTTCACAGATCTAGGATGGGGAAGTGAAATAAAGAATCCACAAACCGCCGCTAGGTTGGGCATTTGTTAGATCCCATGGTCACATCCAGAGATATCATTCCAAGAAGCATCCCGGAAGGGGTGGTGGAAGATGCTAAGCAAGAGTGCTGGCAACTAGAAGAACAATCATTCTTTGCAGCACTTTGACCGATTCCTTTTGGCTTTTCTTTTGACCTCTCTCCAGAAGCAAGTGCCAGCGCGACCTACTTCAAGTGGAGTTTGTTTGAAAGACAGAATGGAGCAGTCAATTCCTTAAGTTCTCACATGTTATCTCTATCACAGATTTCCGGAGGTTTCCCGCTAGTATGTGTAGGACTCCTCTTCGAGAGGAACCTTCTAGTGCCTGGAAAAGGGGGTGAGGAACCTGATACGGTCCCCCTTTTTAATTTCAATTTCGGAGGACAAGATCCAGCTCAGCATTGCGGTGAATTGGACCATGGCTGTGCCAAGGAGCTGCAGATCCTGTTTGGGCTGATTCGGATTCTGATGGGCTTTTAGCTGCAACATCACAACTCAACGCCTGGCTTCGCTCATATGTTTCTTGCATTCCCGGCACAAGTACTGCTAGAACCTACATGTTGCCCGCGACGGTTCCAAGAGAGCTCTGGTACTGGGCAGCTTGATGTCAAGCGCTTTTCCGCCATTCCGGCAGGGCGAGAAGCAAGATTCGAGGCGATAAGCTGCACGCTAAACCCTCCAAACGACAATTAAAGCCTAGACCTTACACAGCAGAAACTCAAATCCCTCGGCGCTGGCAACAGCACATGTGAAACAGTAATGCCCACAAAACGTGATGTCTGCAAGGTCTTATCAGGCTTCAAGGTTTTTTGGGGCTTGAGTTGTTATTTTGAGGTTTAAGTCTAAGGCGCTTAGGGTTTGGGGTTTCTAGGGATGAGCGTTTTAAGGGCTTGGGGTTTGGGGTTTAGGGCTTTAGGGTCTTGTAATGTATGTGAGGGCACTTCAAAGTCCTTTGTTTGTCATTTTCGTATCACATCGTTTCATGCGCAACTCCAGGGAATAATGTGTGTCAGGAAGTTCGACATGCCTTTCTTGTTGCTCGCCAATTAGTCGGTGGTGCGATTGGTGCAGTTCCAGGCCATGCCCCAAAGGGATTGCACGATATGCCGTACAGCCCTTCAGCATGTGTTTTGATTTGTCGGTGAACTTCCCTCATTGAACTCCCCTCCCATGGGGCAACGCCAGGGAACCCGCCCTCATAACGTCATAAAGACGCATATATGAAGCAAACCAAGCCATGGTGACTCTGTGTCATTCGAAGCACTGCTTCATACCGGAAGTCGCCCTACCCGGCAATCGCAGTCGGGAAAGCTACATGTTCAAGGAACTGCGGCATGGATTTACAGCCACAAAGCAGGTTGAGGATCTGGCTGCTTGCGAAGTCGATGCATGCAGGCAGCATTAGGCTTGCTCCAGTATAGAGTCCTGAGGGCTTTGACATGCTGCACGTGCGTGTTACGTCTTCAGCAAGCAGGTGTCCATACATGCTGATGACATTGGCGAAGACAAGTAGCATCCACACATGTGCTCGTTGACGGCTTGGCCAATGCAAAGGGTCTATTGTGACAACGTACACGGCAGGCATGCGAATAGTTTTTCATGTTGAGGGGAGCCAAATTTGAAGATATCTCAAAGTGTGGGTGTTCAAGCATTGTTGCGCCAAGCGCGGGATGTGTACATGATGCAAAGACAAGCTTGTTTTCGGAGAGGGGCAGACCTTTGGCCATTCGCGCACCTGGATGCGGTGTTTTCGGAGGTCAGCCCTTTGGCCATTCGTGCATCTGGGAATGTCGGAATGCGGTTGCTGACCTATCGTAGTGCAGCTGCCACAGGTTTGTGGATGCAGTGGGGATGCCACCTTTCTTGCAGCATTTGGGATCCTAAGGGCAAAGAGAAGTGGATGGCTTTCTTTCTACCTCCCTTTCCTATTTCCATCTATTACACCTCTGAATCTAGGATGTGGAGAGGTGTGGAGAGGGGAAGGAAAAGGGAATCGCATTTTCAGCTGGCGTCCCAAGAGCTTCCTATCTGGCAGCTGAACTCAGACAATGATTCGCGAGTCGACGGTCAGCCTTCATTGGTGAGAGTGGACGAGGGAAGGGCCACCAGCTGGTTGACCCACAGCTCACATCATATCCTCTGTGCTTCCTCCAAGCCTCACAGGTAAAGCTGGCGTGCGAAGAGCGGTGGAGAGAGGTGGAGAGAGGTGTGATAGGCGAGCCTCTTCGTGGCTGGCCTTCCTTTTCTCTATCTCGCTTCATTCATTGATGGGAAGCGAGTGAGAGGATAGAGAGAAAGAATGGGTGAAGGGTGCACCTCCTCACCCTAATCCTCTTGATAATAATAATCACGTGATAAACATTAAATGAATGAAGAGGAAGGGTGTGGCGTGTTCGTGGTCCATTCACCTCTCCTCACCTTGTACATGAGCCCTTATGACGTACCCATCCCCGGTTCATGCCTTGTCTCTCGGCTTTCGCTGAATGAAGAGGGTGAATAAAGAGAACGAACAGGTCTGACCGCGGGACGGCGTTACCCATCCTATGCCATCTCTTCCCCCTCATCACTCTCACCCAAAAAATAAATCTGAGAGAAGAGAGTGATGGAAGAGATGGATGGGAAAAGGAACGATAGGAAAGAGACGTCCCATTAAACGCACCTGTTGCGCAGAAGAAAGCATTTTGGGAAGGCCACGGCTGGCATTAGTTCCAAACCCATGTCCACGTTCAATGTCAGAACCCTCCCGTTGCCTGGCTCCTTTTGGCTGACTCCATCCAGAATACAGCCAGGTCAGGCTTTTCAATCCACTGCCTAGCAATAGGCAAGAGAGGTGCCGGGGAGTCTTGTTGCGCTTGCGGTGGCTCATGATCACGCAGCACAGCCCAACTGCAGGCCCTACTGCCAGCCCGACTGCGAGCCCCACCGCAAGCCAAGCATCCATGTGGCACAGCTGCATGGATGCATGTGGCACACAACTCTCTAGCCACTTGAATGTGATGCAACTGCATGGTCAACAAACCTTTCTGCAGCTAGGTGATGCGCCCCTTTGCAGCTTGTCACCTTGCGCCGAGGCCCTGGCTGCTGCTGATCCTCATGATCACGATGAGCCAAATGCAGCGGCCTTGGGGTGTTCAGACATTTTACAGTTGTCATCAAGCATGCAACCTGCTTGAAATGCTTTCAATCTCGAAGCTTTGCATGCTGAGTCAGGAGAACATGTTGACTGCAGGAAATGGATTCAGGCTGCATTGCGCCATGACATGCTCTGCGAACTGGCATTTTATATCATTTTATGCATGTGCATGTGCGCATGGCCATACAGTTTGAAGGTGTTGAGGCCCCAGCTGCGCCAAGTGGCCAAGAGCTTGATGCGCAGGCGTCTCAGCTTGCATGCATGTCAATATTCATGTCAATGCACACACCCACTTCTTAATTAAGGTATTCCAGCCATCTCGTCAGACAGGACAGAAAGCCCGTTGTCCCAAGCCCTTTGATCCTCAATGATGGGCTGCAAGCTGAGATGGTGGGTAGAATGGCTGCAAAGGCTGGCGACCGAGCAGCTGAACTCCAAGAATTCGTACTGCAAGACTTGCACCCACCTTGTTGGCCCATTCGGGCCTTGCCCAACTCAATCAATCACAGTGCAGACACAGCTCGCTCGTCTGGCCTGTTCTGCAAGGGCCTCTGATTTCTCTTGAGCCTCGGACTCACCAACTGCGGGAAATCCTCCTCCAACCCTTCAAAATTATCACTGGCTCGTTTTGCATTGTTGCTGCCTTTGCCTACACACAACGTGTCAACCACATGGCCATAGCAAGCAACAAGCACATGTTCAATTGGACAACACATGCCACTGCAACACATGCATATTTTTGTTTGCAGTTGTTGATCTTGGCGCAGGATAATGGCCTGCATGTCAACGTGGACACCTGCGTTGAAAGTTGACTTCAGCATCATCATGATTTGCTTTGCGCCGCTGCTTGGATGAGGATTTTGAGCGCCCGCAATCTTTGAGTCGCCTGCAACGACCACCTTTACTCTCATTTGTCCAATGCTCCCCCAGCCCTTGCGCAAGCAATTCAGCAGTCACTTGCAAGGTCAGCTCGCTTGAGCCAAACAAATTCTTTGCTGTCCTGGGCGCGGTGGCTTGGGGTCGGCTTGGGCTGTTGCTGACTGCGCGCTGGCCATGCAAGGCAGCTCTTGCCTTCAGCCAGGTGGGCAAGCCATGCCTGGAGTGCAAGGCACACTTTCCCTTCGCCTTGCCATTCAATCCCCTGTCAGCCTGTTTTGCTCGAGGTTTGGAGCATATGCACATCGCAGCTCGCCTCTGAATCCTTGATAAAAGGTTCAATCCTGATTTTGGTGGGTCCAGGGACGGTGCCAACGTTGACATGCATCTTCACTTGTAGTGCCAAAAGTGGTTTTGCTCCAAATTGGGGGCTCCAAATTGGCGGCCACCCTTTGCGGGGTCGGATTTGAGAAAAAACATTGCGCCCTTTCCCTGCAGGATTGGCGCGGGGGCCTTTGCAGTTCTGGCAGGCGAGGACAGGGCGAAAATCAGAACGAGGTAGAGCCCGCAAAATCGGGGGTCGGGACCGGACTCGAACCTGCACCAGCCTTGGAAAGAACAGTGACGGTCGAGCAACAAACTGAATAATTAATGTTGGGTTGACCTGCATTGAAAAGCTGATGTAGACGATCCCCTGATGAAACTGCAGTTTTTGTTGGAAGCATTTGTTTAAAGGAACCCTGTGACAGCTTTGAGCGTCTCTGAACCTTCGCTGCCATGAGGCAGCCTGGAGCTGACTCGTTTGCCCGCACGATTCGTCACGCCCTGGCCTTGGACCTCCAGCTTGCAGTCGCATGACCGCCAGTTGCTACTTGGCAGCGCCAGCCGGCGTCAAGCCACACCAATTGTCTGAAAATTCCGTGGCCGCGGCCTTGGCCTTCAAGGGTCAGAGCGAACCGTGGACCTGAGGATTCCTCGGGAAACCGGCCGACCATCCTCAAGGCTGGCACTCGCCAAAGGAATCACCAAAATGCGAGGAAGGCGACGTTCGTGTTTGAAGTCCAAAGGAAGAACACCTAGCTTGCTTGATCGAGGTTAGTTGTTTGACACGGTGGGTCCGTCGATCTGTCTGGACACGGAGCAGAGCCATAGGGAAGAGCAGTATCGGCATTACCTTGCAAGTAGCAAGGGCCACTTCAGAGAGTGAGCACTCCACGGGTCCATTCAACATCGCTTCCCGCGCATTCGCCCGCCCGGCGCCGTCCATTTTCTCAGCCATCGCGCCGTGTTTTCTTCGCGCCACATCGCTTCCATGGAGGTGGGGGCCTCTGCGGATCTCGCATCGAAATGCACAAACGCTTCTAAAGCGCCCCAGAGGTTTGCTGCCTCGTGCTGCTTGGCTTGGCGAGCTCCTACATTGAAG